GGTCTGGCTGGTTTAGGGGCTGCTGTAGGTACAGTCTTTTAAAGCAGTAAGAAAAAACAGTACTGTGTATGTTTTCAGAGAAAAGTACGTATTCTTGCAAGGCATTAAGCTGAGACCAAAGATCAGTTGCATAAAGTGTGGATAGTGGAGTCTTATTTCTGGTGCAGAGGTTCGGGATAAACAGGGTAAGCACTCTTAGTGTGTCCAGTATAAAAGCTGTTATATGTCACCACAGGAGTTCCAATGTAAATTGAATTCACCAATTCATTTGGGGTTACAAAAGTAGAACACTAAAGCCCAGGTCTCACTTGAAGCAGCCAGGTGCAATACCAACAAATAGTCCTCAGATAAGGGCCTAAAAAAATCCCCTCGGCTCCATCTTTTGTTGCTTTCTGTCACTTCAACATAAAATCAACCACAGACTACTCCAGAGATAAAAGGCTCATGAACAAAGCATGAGCTTTGGCTCTGCATTGGTGCAGTCCTGGTGTAAGAAGCCTTAAATCTTCTCTTTAGTATCAAGAAAATGATTAGTCACACTTCATACCCTCAGTGAAAACAGCCTGGATTGGGATATTGTTGCCACTGGGTGTCTGGGTTATTACTGCAGCAATCTGAGGCAGACGACAGTCTCATTTCCTGCCACTCACACATTCAATCTGCATCCCAAGAGATGCTGTGCAAATTCTGACATAAATATGACTCCAAAGTAAATGTTATCTGATTTAAATAATTTCTCTTTTACCCAATCCTCATTGTTCCTTTTTCCACGCATTTCACCACCTTTGATGAAAGACCAGTTCCGGCTGCTTTACTGTGAGATTTCAGTATGTTGTGCATCTTTAGAGAGGCATTCCAGAAGCTCTGGAAACCTTCAAAGTTGGGATGAAAACTGGTCAGTTTGTTTATAGATCTTTTGAAATTAAGCTATTCTTTTTATCTATTCCTTTGCTCCCTCAGAATGTAGAAGTTTGAGGGTTTTCTTTTTCTAAATTCCCTTTTTTTTACCACCAAAAGACCTGACAGCTCGAGAAAAATGCCTGGCTTAGTCTCTCAAATTAGCAAACTGTCAGGTTTTGATTGTGGCCACTCAATTCCAGGTTTGCATTAAAACAACATTGCACATGCTGCTTTTCTCTGACATTCCTTTTTGCATGTTTGTAAAATGATGTAAAAAAAGATTTTGTCTTTTATTGACAATATAGGAGCTGTTTTCAGATTAGCACTTGTAAATTAATACCCACACTATAATTTTAAGGCTCACACCATCAGCAAAATACTGTTAAATATACAAGTTCCTATACAGTTGCTATATTTTTTATATTACTAGATTTTGACTCAACAACCATTTCAACTACATGTATTTGTAAAAACTAATGTATGAATAAGTCCTCTAGCTATATGAACAGCTAACAAGCTGTCTCAATTTCTCTGTTACAAAAAAAAAAAAACAAATAAAATGGTAGGGTTTTTTTTCTAGTAAAACCTCTTCAACTAGATTGATCTGTAGCTGGAAGTTTACTAGTGATATAAGCATTTGTCTGTGAAGCGTCTCATCTTTTATATTAAGTGAAAAATTTCAGTAATCTGTTAATAAACATAAGGAGCTATATTGCAAACAACTTACCACCTACCAACTCAAAATATTCCGATTACTTTAAGTTAGCATTTTGCTCTGCTATTGTTGTACTGTCTCAGTAATTTTGCTACTTAAAAAAGCAGTAAGTGAGCTGTCTCCAACAGCCTGAAACTGAGGACAAGTAAAAGGGACACCTTGCTTTATCTGCCTCCCTGCATCTAATGGATCCTTTCTGTTTACAACTCCACTATTTCCATATTTGCTCTTACCTGTTTCTCTGTGAAAGCAAACCCACAAAAACAACCTCATTCTGCGCCATACTCTGTTCATACAGTATTTTGCTACCCAGCTAACTTCAAAATCCAGCATTAATAGTGCTACAAAGAAATCCAGATTGCTTTTTCCTTGTAACTAGAGAGTTCTGTGTTTGTCTCTTCAGGTACTTCTCTTTCCTTTTCAGTTAACATGTAATTGGTCATTACTCTTAAGTAACCATTTTTATGGATATTCATTACAAACAGTTTTCTCCAAGCCATTTAACTATTCATTGTGAGAGCCACGGCTGGTACATATTAAGTATTCAATTGTAGCAATTGAAATATTCCACTGCATTCCCCCAGTCTTCCCTGGAAACAGGGTATCTGGTTTCTACACTTGCATAATTGCATGGTTCAGTTCATTTATTCTTACTGCAAAATCAGATTTAAGCCATTTTATTCTTCATGACACTCTCAGTTTTCTCAGTATCCATAATTAACAGTTTCTTAGCAGTCAAAACCAGTTGATAATCACAGCTGAATTTAATAGTCAATTTTAAAAATGCAAGTCTTGACATCCTGATGATTAATAGAGAAGAAACTGCATCAGAAACTCCATTTCAGTTACTGAGCCTGGAGTTGGTGATACTTAGCAGCATTACTGTTTGGCTGTATTTTTAACTGAAATGTTTGAGCACCCCAGTGCATATTATTAATGCCTTGAGAAATTTTAAACTCACCAGATCAGTTCTGCACAACCAAATACAGTTACTGAGAAAAAAGAATCAGATGCATTTATGAGAACAATTAGACCTCAAAAAAATATAAACTTCCTGGAATGTGTCAATCTCACCACACCCCACATTATTTACCATGAAGAAAAGTCTTAGTGTAGCTAGAAAAAAAGTAAATATCAAAACAGACCTAAGAAAATAAATATAAAAAACAAAGACACACTAAAAGCTCAGTGGAATTTCTCTTAGCTACAGAGTCAGTGTTCTGTAGAAGCAGTACAGGTAAATTTACAATATAAAGAGAACCCAGAAGCAAACAAAATGTCCACAGTGGTTTGTGGGGAAAAAACATTTATTTGTTTCCTTGTTTTCTTTCTGATGACAGCTGTCCCTTGTGCCAAATCAAATCAAAAGTACTTACTCCATACTTTTTTCATCCATCAAAGGCATATTAATGCAAGGCCTCAATTCTTCCCGGAAAAAAAGAGAGGGACTTGCAAGAAAATTGGATTTTCTTGGCCAATATTTTCTTGGTTAGCAATATAAGGAGAGTCTAAAGGAAGACATGGTAAGATAATGATTAATTTAACTGGTATGTGAGAAATCACAGATCACACATACACAGTCTTCCCCAAATGAAATAGTTTCAGCATTGTCTAAATTATGACTTTGGTTTGTTTCCCATATCTGTGCTGTGGTTCAGGGCAAGAGGATATTTCACTTCCCTCAAGGGCCCTCTTGCTGCTAAAATTCAAACATTTAGAGATATGGATAAGCCTGTTAAAGAACCTGTAGAGGCACCAGTACTTGAGGCAACTGACACGTGTTCTGTACATTCCGTTCCATTTTTCCTGGGACTCCAAAGCCTGGCCTGCTCCCATTAATGCTTTTCAAGTAGCAGATTGTTTGTATTGGGTTTGCTGTGCTAAAGGAGCAGATTCTGCCTCCTTACTGAGCAGATTCTTGCTGACCCCATAAAGCCAGGAGAGTCACCATCCTGGAGGAGATGGAGGGAGCTTTATCCAGTTTCCAGTCCAGGACTGGAGGAACAGACTGAGATTCTTTTCACCATTCCACTTCATGCTCTTTGCTTTCAGTGGAACTGGTTTATATGTTTCAGTTCATGCTTGTTTAACCCCATAAATGCCTAGAAAGCTGTAGCACAATCACATCACAAGGATGAATAGTGCCTAAACCTGGACAGGCATCTTTCTGCTTGCTTTGTTGCCTCAGACTCATCAGTATAATGCCAGTATATGTGAGCAGCCTGGGAGCTGAAAATGATCTAGTGATGTTTGGAGCAGCCCTTGAGGAAGCAGAACTAAAAGGCTAATTAGGGCATGCTCCTGCACGGGAGGCAGTGAAGAGAAGGGCTGAAAGGCACGAGGATTAAAGCACTGTGGGGTGGATGGAGGAAAATTGTGTGTACAGGAGCCCTGGAGATGCCCAGCTCCCAGTGATGCCACTGCTCTGTGCACATCCCACTGCAGGGTTTCAGGGAATGATGATCAGAATGGACACAAGAACCCCTGAGCTGTTGTGTAAATAATTATCTATGTAGACAAGCCCCAAGTTTAAGAAAAAAACAGAGCTTTCTTCCTCCATGGGCATTTACATATGGCTACTGGTGGACACTATTTTTGGTTTTCTGTTTTTCCCCTTATGGGAGTTCCTCCTGCATTATCTGTGTCCAGAGCTAACCATCTCATCAGCTATTTTAATCACAACACTGCACTACAGTGATGTTACTCTGTGATTCTAGTGAGTTAGGACCAGGGCCAAAGTATTGAAAAATATCCCTATAAAACAAATTTGTTACTATTATTCCTGATAGCCCTGCTTCTCTGCCCCTCCAGACCTTCCACAAGCTGGGACTATAACTGTAACACGTGTCTACAGTCACTGACCTGCCTGTTCTGGGCAGCACAGCTTGCACCTGCCAGAGCTTCACTCTCAAGCAACGTGGTGTTGTTCACCTTGACATTGTTACACATTGTGATAAGTTACAATCAGGCACCAACTGAAAGTATTTTACCCTGTTGCAGTCATTCAGTGCCAAGTGGTCTCAAACCATTTAAATGCAACAAAATTATTTTTTCCTTCCCTATTCAGTCCCTGACAATTTTTTTTTCAAATAGTCCAAATTCCTACATATTACAGTTAGGTTAGTCCTACAGTTAAAATTACAGTCAGATTATGGTTGGATCATGCCACCATGTATTAACTGAAACAAATTTTCTACAGCCTTTGAATTTCCAAATACACAGCAGTGGAAATGCTATGAAAGCATGATTGTCCTTAGAACATAGATCTCAAACTTCTTTTGTTATAAAAAGCTGTTAACAGATTAATTTTCTTTTTTATGCAACCTTTTACAAGCCTAAGTAAGAAAACAGAAGCATCTAACTCTGTTTTTTCTCTGAATTTCAGGTATTGTTGCTGTCCTTTTCTGCGGAGTCACACAGGCCCATTACACCTACAACAATCTGTCACCAGATTCCAAAATGAGAACCAAACAGGTAGGACATGGAAATAACTGACATCGTGTTTTACTCTGGTGTAAGGAATAACAGCTGCTAGAATACAGCTGGATGGGATTTCATTGATGCAAAGCAAGAGCCTTATGTCTTCATCAGGGGAAAGACGGGAGATTTTGCCAGGAAAACAGTAACAATTACCAGGATAAGCAAAAAGTACGAGAATATAAGAATCTGCTCTTCCTAAGAGAGCTGAAATGTCAGACAGGTATGGAGATAACAGATGACACCAACTTCCATTCAAAAATGCTTCAAAATTAAGGAAAACAAAGATCTCTAGTAAGTAAGAAGTGGTCTGAGATTTTTGCAAAGGCTTTGTATAAACTGCAGTCTGGCCCACTGATTTAAGCAATGACATAGTTTAATTTCTGTTTCATTAAAAATTGTCATAATTACAAAGATTTTTCTTTCCATTTTTTTCATTCCATTGTGTTATTTAGAGTTTAGAAATGCGAAATTTGATCATCTGGTTTTTGTTTGAAGTGACTAGTAAAATTGTAATTATTTTTTAAAGCTTGGGGCTGTTCTCAGATCTATGGCATTGCAGTGTTCAAAACACTTTTCAGCATGAGTAAGTTAGTTCTAGTAAGTTAGTAAGTTTTAGACAACCCTGCCACTACCTAGATCCTCTAAGAAGTGTTTTAAATACAGTTTTTTTCCCCCTTAATGTTGATACATATGTCCCAAGAACCCCAGGTTGTAGGAAATCTATCTACTAGAACAAAATGGAAACTTTTGGCCCAAGACTATAATTCTCATGATGCAATCTCGTACCTTTTTCAGCAATTCCTTTCTTTTAAGCATTGGAAATTTTACGTAGAAAAATTCATCACTTCTTGCACATCTCAATCTAATCAAAAATCCAATTTTCTATCAAAAACAGCTTGATAGAAAAAAATACTGGCCACAGTATCAGATCAACTGTTAGAGTCTCACAGATTTTAAATCACAAATGAGCTTCTGGTCAGTAGTCCCCTAATAAAGTGTTAGCTGTTGAACAGGATAAGTCTTTTCAATTGTATTTCTTCAGAGCAGTAGAAGCTGATGCTTTCAGAAAGTATTCCAGCAGAGAACTAACCTTTCTCTGATAACTATATTGTAAGGGAAGGACATTAAAATCTACTACAGAATTGTTTCTGTTTTGCAGAAAGACTGAATTACATATGCCAGTACTCCCCTTGCATATAACTTACAATTTGAATAGAAGGCTTTTTCAGGGATTCATCTGCATGTTTTAGTAATGCAGAGCTTCAGAGAGAGACAGAAAAAGGCAAGGTTGTGTATTTTTAATTACCTATAAAGCTTTTCAGCTGCAGAATTAACTAATATTTTGTTTAAATGCATCCTGGTTTTGTTCATGTTTATTGTGTTATTCCCTTCTATTCAACAAGTGCAAAACAAAATAATGAAAATAAACCAAATTCACCCTTGAACACACAGAAAAGGGATTAGGTGTTTCTCTGTGGAGCTAATAGGAACTTTCCTACTCTGTTTTTCTCTTCCCCATAAGCCCTTAATCCTCAGCCTCCTTTATGATATGGTTCAAACACTGTTGTTGAATTCCTTTGAATTCTTCTAATTTATTTTCTAATCCAAATATTACCCTTTCATATGCATCTGTTTCAGTGAGACCTGCACTGCCTCTTTCTTTCTCTCCTCCCAGGAATTCTCTTCAAGCAAATTTAATAAGCCACACACTTGGCATTCTCATAATCATATATAACTTCAGTGCATCTTCAATGAATATTGTTGCTCAGACAGTTGGCTTTGCTCCCGATCTAAGTCATTTTTATTACTCATTACTGGCCAAAATCAAGGGCTTTTCAGTTCTTTTATAGAATTATTCCAAAGCAGTCTCTCTCTTTTGTTACAATATGATAGATCTTTCAAAAAGGATTGCTGAACTGTAATGCACACGGACAAAACGGTGAGTTAAAGCTAAAGCTGAAGCTAACAAAAACCATGGAAATTAGATTTAAACTGTAAATTAGATTGCAAAATTGTGTTAGCTGTTTTTAAACAAATATTTTTTCTTTACTGCTTTGCATAATTTTCTTTACATTTTTTTACTTGCTTTTAAAATTTTAGAGCTTGATGGTAAAATCCAGTAGGCAGTGATAGAGAAGGTGTTTCTGACCCTGGTGCCAAGTTCTGAATTTCCTATAATATATCATCATTTGCTCTAAAAAAAATAAAAGGTTTCTCTTCAGTCACTGATGTAAAATGAGAACTTATCTACAGTTCTTAAATAAAAATTTAAGAACATATATTAAAAAGACCTGATAAAAGATGCCATGTAATTATTACTCCCCATGTATCCTTTATTATTCCATCAATCACTGTTTAAGATTCCATAAAAGAGAAATATTAGATTTCAAGCATCTGAAACTTACAGAAGCTGAAACTATAAACCAACATGAATCTTTTCACAAATAAATGAATTATTTTAACACTCTCACAAGAAAAGTAAGATAACAAAAAATTACTGAAAATTGAGGGTTTTAGATAGTTTTCATTCAATTCAATTATCCCAATTTTCATTAAGTATTTATAAACATTCTGTGTGTTTTTGCTATCATTTCTTTTAGCATGGGTGATGTTTTATGGCAGTAATTTTAAGTCATCATCATTGAGCTGACAACCACCGTCATGATTTTAACAGTGAGATTGACCCTGCCCTCCATGGCAACAAGGTTAGGTCTAACAGAGTGCTCCTGAATTTCAGGCACTTAAAGTTTAATTTATCCAATGTATTTTTAGTGAAGGAGAAGATGAAACTGCTGGGATCTGATCGAAAGCTATTTGATTCTGAGCAGCTTTCTCCAGAATTATTTACAGCTGCTATCTTCCCTCACGTTGTGCTGCAGCCAGACAGTTGCCTCTAAATCTTGGGACACCAGAGCTCAGATTTTACATTAGACTTCAGATGTTAAGCTAGGCTGGGTTGATTTGCTCTGCTGCAAGTAAGTCAGTGGCTGGGTAGGGTGCAGTGAGATCAATAGAAATCCCTGGTTTGTTAAAAGTGGGCAGAGTGTAAATCCCCACAGGTCACCTCTACAAAAGGATTCATGGATAAGGCTGTGTTTTCTCCAGGAAGATGTCATTCCTTGCCCTGTTTTTCTCTCTGTCCTCTACCACTTTCACTCAAATGCCAAGACGAGCACATTTTCCTAGTGGTGGAGTACTGACTAATGGCCATAAATATTATCCATTCTGCTTAGGAGTTGTAACTTTTTTGGTTATGTTCCTTTAACTCTGGGGAACTGCAACAACGAGAGTGGGGCAGGGAAATACCTCTTTTTGGTTAAGTGTACAAGGGTATGAAGAATTCTCTTTGCAGACAAAATAGTGTCAGCAAGTTATAATTTCTGGAAAGGGAGTTCTGAAATGCATCACCTATAGAAGAAGAGACAGGGAATTACAAGACACAGGAAAGCATGTCCAGCCAACAAGGGAGTATGTCACACACTGCCCTGCCTGTGTCCAGTCATTCCTCAGTCTAAGATTTTTCTCAGGTCACCTCTGAAACAGGTGTGTCTAACTGTTGGTGAAGGTTCCCTTCTCAAATTAGTTGTAGTTGCCTTTCTAATCATTAGGAGTTAAACAGTTACTCACCTGTTTTTAGCTCCTGAGCAAACCCATTAAGGGAGCAGCTGCCTTGGAGAGAGAGCTCCTGGCCTGATTGTTCAGCTGCACTGGGCGTGCTGTGTGCACAAGATTACAAGTTAAGATTTCAGTGGCCCTTCACCTCCAAGGCTTAACAAAGGTGGGAGAATGAGGCAAAGATACACCAAGAGAGCTCAGTGCTGCTTAACTTGTGAGTAACTTTACCAAGACATGCAGTCTCACTCAGAGGCTTGAGCAAATCGGTTTGCACTGGAGGACTTAAAGTTCAAACTGTTCTTGGGCTTTGCTCACCGATGGACATAGTGCTGATTGCTTCAAATTTTAATCTCCATACTATAAAGCAGACATGATTATCTCTGATTAATAAAAGTTACCACTTTGCAGGGGAGCAGCTAATATTTCCTGGAAATCTCTGGAAAATACATGAAGTTTTCAAAATGTTCCTAGCTCATTGATGATGAAGCTATATATCTTCCAACAAGGACAGGGATCAATCCCTACTTATTTACTATTGGATCAGAAATTAAGCTGCATTCCAAAGACACTTTGGTGTAAAAGGATTATGTTTTTAAGCTTATTAATTTAATTCTAATTAATCACATTATTCAAAACAGGTTGAAAAAATAGTCATAAAACATTTTTTTAGTTTCTCAAAAACTGCAAATCAATCTTTATAGTCTCTTGACCCTAATATGTTATAGTATAATCTCAATATAGGCTTTAGACTTAGAATAACAGAATCACTGAGGTAGGAAAAGTTCTCCAGGACCATCAAGTCCAATTGTCAACTGAATACCACAACTACTCATTTTTTGAACTCTTCCAGGGATGGCAATTCCACCACTTCCCTGAGGAGCTGTTCCATCCATGATTAGGGACTCACTTTAGAAGCAAAGTAAAACAGTAGAGTAAAAGTATGGCAATGGAGGTGTCCAAACTGACTAAAAGGGGAAAAGAAAATCAATTAATCAAAGGAGGGTGACCTGAATGCCAACAGACAATGTTTACTAAAACGAGCTTTGGAGGACTAAAGGCAGAGTGTTGACTGAAGTCACTGTATCCAAATGAAGCACCAACACTGGGATCTCAACATTCTACTGTTTTTCTGCTGGCCTATGGCTCAGAAAACCAGTTACAAGCAGAACTACAGCCAGCACTGCAACAACAAATCTCCTTTCTCTGGATACATGATACTTACAGGATTCTCCCATCAGCTGTCTTTTGATAAGAAAATAAATAATGCACTGCAAATTCTGCTTTAGTAGCAGAACGATTTCTCCTGAGTTTGTTGTTAAAAGCACCTGCCAGGAATTGCAGGTACTGTTGATATCCTTCTGTGAGAGAAGGAGAGCAGC